TAATTTAAAAAGTCTATTCTTACATGCTTAAACTTCTGTCACCTTCAAAGTACTCTCCATTTGATGCACTACGCCTGTCAAGACAGTTTTTCCACTGCTCAAAGCAGATTTTGAGCGCATCGATTTTGATGCCTTTTAGTTCTTGTATTTTTTGTTTCACCTCTTCCACGTCAGCAAAAGATTTCTTTTTGAGAACTAAAAAAAGTCCTCATCTGGGAAAGCAAAAGTTGCTCAGGGTGAGATCCAGTGAACAGGGAGGGTGGGGAGCCCCAGGGTCTTGCCACTTTTGGCCAAAAACTGCTGAACACTCAGCATGGTGTGAGCAGGGATACTTGTCAATCACCCATCATGAAATCTGCGAGCGTACTGAACGAGTCTCAAAAAAAAATTCACTGAAGCCGAATGCAGCCTCTCAGTAATGCTAGCTGTGCACTGATGCTGATGGGTTCCTAGAACACTTACCTAGCAGGGAAGCCTGTACTACAAGGGGCCTGCCCTTCAAAAAATAATTGTTTTTTGGCCCCCTCGTCCCCCCTTGTATAAGCCAGCTGTAGCTGATGGAAAACTGATGTTTTGGGTCAGTTTTACTTAAAGCCAATACAACAGGTTTAGAATTATGTATTTAAAAGTATGGCTTTGGTTCAAGTGACGTGTTGACTTTTATTTTTCTTATTTAAGTTTTAAATTTATCAGTCCTCCTTTTGTTCATAAGTTACCTACATAGTTTAGGGTGTGGACTCTTATATACAAGGGGGGACCCAAAAATCCCAGAATTATCTTTTGGAGGGCGGCCCCTTTGAAGTACACTCAAAATTTGTTCCTCTGGAAGTTTTGAGAAGGTTGCATCATGACTTGTGGAAGAAACTTCCCAAATTGTGGCAAATAGGTGACTGGTTCTTCCACCATGACAATGCACTTGCCCACACTGCTCTCAGTGTTCAGCAGTGTTTTGACCAAAAATGATGTTACTCTCATACCCCAGTTTTCCTACTCACCCCATCTTGCCCCAAACAACTATTTTTTGTTTCCCTGGATGAAAAAGTCCTCAAAGAGAAATGTTATGCTGGTGTGGAAGGGGTGAAACCAAAAATAGCAGAACCACTGAAAGGCATCAGAACAAGTTCAAAAACATTCTGACCAGTGGAAAAAGTGTCTCAATATTGCATCAAGTGGAGAGGACTTTGAAGATTTAAACATGTAAGAATAAGTACAAAATTTTTTATAAATAAATTTCATTTGGGGGAGTCCCCCTTATATAAGATGCTGCTGTTGTGTTTCCAAAGTAGTGATGAGCATCAGCCCATTTTTCTATTTTGTCTTATAAATAGAATCATGAATAGAATCTTTCTTCCTCAGTTATTACTTGCAGATGGATTGACTTTTTTAAAAATTTTCTTTTCTTAATTGGAGCTTTAAATTAATATAGAGCTTAAGATATTTTCAGGGATTCCATTGAAAATAATTCCTTTGACCTAAATTGAAAAAGATGCAGGTTTCTGAGAACAAAAGGTGTGCACAGCCAATTTTTCTAGAGGAGGTAGTAGGTAGAGAATGTTAACTAGCGTGTTGAAAAACTTACACTTTCACTTTCAACTTATGTTTAATTTATAAGATCTTAGAAGGCAAGAGTTTATCTCAAAATATTTTGAAGCTTCTATTGTACCTGACACTAAGAAGTCATATAGGGTAGACTTAGAACTTTCCATAGGTTACAAAAATGTTGTACCTCCCTGGTTTTTGTAACCCAGTGTTTCTGGTGAAGGAGTTGGTTGGAAATGTAATTAAAGGTTGAAAAATAATTTAGAAATTAGAAATTTCCACTGAAATTCTTCCATTGAGACTGTGTTGCTTCCTTTTCCATATATATGTAATCTTACTGTCAGCCAGGCTTGGTGGCTCAGCCTGCAATCCCGCGCCTTTGGGAAGCTGAGGTGAGTGGACTGCCTGAGCCCGCGGGTTCGAGACCCGTCTGGGCAACTTGGCGAGACCTCATCTCTACAATAAATCAAAATTCAGCCGGGCGTGGTAGCGCGCGCCTGTAGTTCCAGCTACTTGGAAGGCTGAAGCAGAAGGATCGCCAGAGCCTATCTATTGACATTTTGAGTCTGTCTATTGAGGAACCAAGGATGTAGAGAAAGCAGTAAAAGAGTGGATTGTTGTAAGTTTAGATGTGCTGTGATGAAGACCTAAGAATATTGTTTTTCAGTTTTTGTTTAGTGTAAACATTTTTCTTGACTATTCCTTTTGTAACCACTGGACTCATTTTTGAATGCTTGTTCTTAGAAAAAAGCGAAAGTTCTTACTGTGATTAAATTCTAAATATTATGTGGTTAAAATGGCAGAATTAATGATACAGAGATTGTCACTCACTTTAAGCATCGGTCAGTTAATGAGATCTTTACCTGCATTTTTCAGTCTTTTTACTTTATCACTAGTCTACTTCGTCATTTTCTCCCTTTCTGAAAGGTCTTGGTTTCCTCTTATATATGGGATAAAAATCGGTCAAGTCAGATGTTCTCCTTAGTGGGACCACAGCAGGGCTTTCATGAATTTGACTTCCTGTTACCTTTATAATTATTCCACTGCTTGTATGACTCAGGACCTTGCACATGCCTCTGCCGGAGGCTCTTCTAACTCTCCAGTGCTCTTTGCACCTCAGACGTTCTAGTTCTAGCCTAAGTCCATCCTCTCACGCGTCGTTATTACTTTGAGTGTCTTAACATGTTTTGATTACCGCAGGAATCAAGCCTATTGTGATTATGTACTTGTCTGTGTGTCTCCTTATTTAACGTAGTTATTGTGTGTCTTACTCATTTTTAGATCCATTAATATTCAGCATTGTATACAGACTGTGGTAGGTGTTTAGTAAATGTTTATCTGAATCAATAAGGCAGAGGTTTCCATTTTTATTTTAGTGTTTAAGCTTGATACATCCAGCTAAACAAATCTTGTCTCTTTTGCTCCCTCCTCTTCAGAACAACCTCTATATTCATGTCATATTTTTCCCGTGGTCTTCTGTGATTTTAACCTTCATGGAGCTTTAGCAATGAGCGTCTTTTGGCGGGGGGCGTTCTTATTTGAGCCTTGTAAACTCTTACTTGCAGGTAAGAGAATTTAGATTTGGTTTAACTGAGTGTCTAAGAGCACATAATCAATAAAGGGCTCTAAAACTCTAGTTTTTAGATTTCTTGTCTTGCATTCATTGTATAACAGCTGCTGTAATTCAAGTTACCTTTTTCAGCCTTGGCTGGCTGCAGCTTTTTATTATGTAGTTCTTCAGTGTCCTGCTTCAGGGCTGATCTATAAGTGCATTGACAGAATTTTTATATATTCCCAAGGTATGTACAAGTAAAAGCCTAAACAAAAGGTTTTTTAAAATCAGTCAGATGGTTTAATATTATTTAAAATAAAATAAAACCTGAATGTCTATTGTATAATGTCATGATGTATTCATGTTATTTGGGAAAACATACTCATTTTCTTAGCAAATTTTTGGATTTTTTTAATCTGTCGGGTCCTGTATGGAAATTCAGAGATGAGCCAAAAGTGACCTGTTCCTTTGCCCTTTTAAAGCACACCAGCTTTTTGGGAAGACTGACATTGACAAAATAATCACACAAATAAGTGTAACATTGCAATTCTGATAAGGAATGAAGAGTGCATGGTGGTGAGAAGTTAGTCAGATGACTTGATGTGGTTATGATGGTAGTTTGCCTGTTGGGGGTGTGGAAGGCAGGTGGTAAAGCGTGAATGTTCCCTATAGAGAAAGCCTGTATTGGAGCAGGTGCCAGTGTGGCTAGGAGCCTGACCACGGGGAAGTGTGATGTGTGATGAGGCTGGCGGGGCACATGGGGGCCAGACTGTCTAAAACAGCCTGGGCGCAATGGCTCACACCAGTAATCCCAGCACTTTGGGAGGCCTAGGTGAGAGTATTGCTTGAGCCTAGGAGTTTGGGACCAGCCTGGGCGACAAAGTGAGACCCTGTCTCTACAGAAAACTAGCAAAAAAAAAAAAAAAATTAGCTGGGCATTGTGGCACATGCCTGTAGTCCCATCTGAGCCCAGGAGGTTGAGGCTATGGTAACTCGTGATGGTGCCCCTGCACACCAGCCTGGGTGACAGAGTGAGACCTCAACTCAAAAAAACCCCAAAACACCTTAAAACAGACAACTAGGAATATACGTCCTTGGCTGAAAGGAGAGGTCTGGGCTAATGATACCAATTTGTGTCATTTGTATATAGGTAATCACTGAGTCATAAGAATAGGTGAAATCTTCTTGAAAGAGTATAGTGAGAAGAGCATATGGTTTGGAAAAATAGAAAAAGCCACCCCCAAAAAACCATTAGAAGAGTGTTTCACATAAGAGGAAATAGCCAAGTATGTCAGAAATGACTGATTGGACCAGTGTTTTTGGTATATACATCAGAGAAAGGGAACTTCTAGGAATTAAGCTTTAATCTTAGTTTCAGGTGTTCTACTTGTTAAGTACCAAAAGTGTATTAACACATGGCAGTATTTGCAAAACTGCCAAAGTGATTTCCTAAAAGGGTACACAGTTGTTGCTTTCTATAATTGTAATGTGAATTACTTTTAGCTATTTTCTGTTTCTCTACTTTCCAGACTGATTATAGTCAGTCTAGAATGGATTGTACATTTTAAAACTTTACATTTCGTTCAAATAAATTTTGTATCTGAGTAGAAATGGTATATTTATTTAAAATCTATACCTTGGTCTGTTTTTATTTTTTTGGTTTAACTTTTGTGTGCTTCATTGCCCCCACGAGTAAAAACTGCTGATACACAAATACAGATCAAAGATTCTCCATGCAAAATAAGTATTTTTTTCTCTGCTTTCCTTGCCGTATCCCCATAGTCTAGTATGTGGCTTGCATATAATGCACGTAATAGGTGTTTGATAAGTTTTTTTCTGAATTATTAAATTAAGATACAGCAAGAGTTAAGACATGACTTTAATATTGTATTTTTTCTTATTTTCTTAGGATGGCTGGCTGTGGTGAAATCGATCACTCAATAAACATGCTTCCTACAAACAGGAAAGCAAATGAGCCCTGTTCTAATACCACACCTTCTCTAACTGTCCCTGAATGTGCCATTTGTCTGCAAACATGTGTGCACCCAGTCAGTCTGCCCTGTAAACACGTCTTCTGCTATCTGTGTGTAAAGGGAGCTTCATGGCTTGGAAAGCGCTGTGCCCTTTGTCGACAAGAAATTCCTGAGGATTTCCTTGACAAGCCAACTTTGTTGTCGCCAGAAGAACTCAAGGCAGCAAGTAGAGGAAATGGTGAATATGCATGGTATTATGAAGGAAGAAATGGGTGGTGGCAGTATGATGAGCGCACTAGTAGAGAGCTGGAGGATGCTTTTTCCAAAGGTAAAAAGAACACTGAAATGCTAATTGCTGGGTTTCTATATGTTGCTGATCTTGAAAATATGGTTCAATATAGGCGAAATGAACATGGACGTCGCAGGAAGATTAAGCGAGATATAATAGATATACCAAAGAAGGGAGTAGCCGGACTTAGGCTAGACTGTGATGCTAGTACCGTAAACCTAGCAAGAGAGAGCTCTGCCGATGGAGCGGACAGTGTATCAGCACAGAATGGAGCTTCCGTTCAGCCTCTGGTGTCTTCTTCTGTAAGGCCCCTAACATCAGTAGATGGTCAGTTAACAAGCCCTGCAACTCCATCCCCTGATGCCAGCACCTCTCTGGAAGACTCTTTTGCTCACCTACAACTCAGTGGAGACAACATAGCCGAAAGGAGTCATAGGGGGGAAGGAGAAGAAGATCACGAGTCGCCGTCTTCTGGCAGGGTACCAGCACCAGACACCTCCATTGAAGAAACCGAGTCAGATGCCAGTAGTGAGAGTGAGGATGTATCTGCGGTTGTTGCACAGCACTCCCTGACCCAACAGAGACTTTTGGTTTCTAATGCAAGCCAGACAGCACCTGATCGATCAGATCGATCCGTTCCTGATCGATCAGTAGCAGGGGGTGCGACAGTGAGTGTCAGATCTAGAAGGCCTGATGGACAATGTACAGTAACTGAAGTTTAAATAAAGTCTTAAGCGCCATGCTCAAGGTGGAAAGGGTTACCTGTAAATTTCTGCCCACATACATTATACTCATCCCTGGTAGTACATTTTGGGGATTGGGGTGGGAAGGGGGATGGGAAGGATAGACCCGTAATTAAAATGTCTAACATGTCTCTGTTGAGAAATTTATTTAACGTAAGGAACTTGGGTGTTAACAGTTGAGAACCGTTTAGTAATAACCCAGTTTTCTCAAGGTCTGTTTACTTTATATAGTTTAAGAAAAATTTTCTTTAGTTCTTTTGGCCAGTGTTGTGTGTATTATTTGTGCATTAATGGTCCTCACTTGACTCTTGCATCGTGTCTTATTTTTCTGCATGGATTGGCATAAAACCATTACTAAAATTTGGCACCTATGAGATGTTTGGTATCATTATGAGCAGAAAGCTTAATGTGAGAATAGATGTGAATTTGAATTTTAAAATAGATAACTATTTTATAGTAAAGTTATTGAAACAGAAATGAAAACAGCTAATAACTTACGTTCAGAATCTCTGTAACACACTTCATGGCGTTCCCATTGGCTTTGCTGTCTAGTCCTTATAGTTTGAGGTTTCTCTTGGTCCGCATTTTTTTTTGACAGAATTTATAATTTAATAAATATTAGAGTTTATCAAAAATACTCTGTCTCTTGTTTGAGTGTGTGGAAAGGGGATGGAATCATTTGTGGCCAAAGGTTCCTAAAAAAGGGATTGCATTCAGCTTAAATAGTTACCCCAGAAAAGTTTGATTTCTTCATAGACAGTATTTACACAGAATCTACAGGTAGTGTATGTGGAATAAATATACGTGGAAATAAGCCTAAGCCTGTGAGACTTACATTTCTCAAACAGCTGGTGCTGTTAATATTTTACAATTTCCTTAGTAGTCTTCATTAGTGTTCTACCCTCTGGATTAAATGGCAGACTTATAAATAGTGTTAGCGGACACAAATTCACTTTATACAAAATGTTGACCACAAAATCCACTTTTATTAGGAGTTTTTATGTCTATGGCAAGGTAGGAAGTACTGGGTTGATAATGGTAATCAAGAATTTGTCTCTGAAAAAAAGTAATGAGTTTGTCTTTCCTAACAAAGCAGTAAGACCATGTTGATAAAGCATATTACAAGTTATTTGATTCTCAAATGTGATTGAATGTTACAATAGTAAATAAAAACTGTTACTAAGGTGACATCTTATACCTCTTGTGATAGGGCAAAATTAGGACATAATTCCTTTACATAGGTTTTTAAAAGTGTACTACTCTGGACAACTTGGCGAGACCTCATCTTTACAATAAATCAAAAATGAGCCGGGTGTGGTAGCGTGTGCCTGTAGTTCCAGCTACTCGGAAGGCTGAGGCGGAAGGATCGCTGGAGCCCAGTGGGTCGAGGCTGCGGTGGCAGGGAGCGGCCACTGTACTCCAGTCTGGGCGACAGAGTGAGACTCCACTCAAAAAAAAAACAAAAAAAGTGTACTACTGGGATGATCATGAAAGTTTTGAGTTGTGCATTTTTATTATATTTAGTTTTTTTTTGAGTCAGGGTCTTACTCTGTCACCCAGGCTGGAGTGCAGTGGCATGATTACGGCTCACCACAGCCTCGAACTCCTGGGCTCAGGTGATTCTTCCCCTTCAGCCTTTTGAGTAGCTGGGATTACAAGTGCATACCACCACCACACCCAGCTAATTTTTCTGTTTTAGTTTGTTGATTTTTTTTTTTAAGAGATGAGGTCTCGTTACATTGCCCAGGTTGGTCTCAAACTTCTAGGCTTAATCCTCCCACCTCAACCTTCCAAAGTGCTGGGATTACAGGCCTAAGCCACCGCACCCAGCTTAATTTACTTTTTTAAAGATAGTTATAATAGATGGTAGGTTAGCTGTTCAGGAAAAAAAATAGAAATCTGATGTAAAATGCAAATTAATGTTACAGGATGTTTCCTGAGTTCTTTTGAGTAGTTTCCATTTTAAAACTACATCAATAATATTTGTTACCAATTTGGAAATTCCAGGGCACACAAGTGAGTGGCCAGTTTGGTAGAATCAGTTGACTTTCAGTATCATGCTACCACTGATAAGTAGCGAATTTAAAACAGAAAACGAATTACTGATAAAGATACAAATAAAGCTCCAAGCTTGTAGGTGGTAGCGAGTGCCTTTTTTGTTTTTTGAATCGGAGTCTCACAGTGGCTTGCTCACAGCCACCCCGGCCTCGACCTGCTGGGCTCCAGCGATCCTTCGGTCTCAGTCTTCCAAGGAGCTGGAACTACAGATGCATGCCACTATGCCCGGCTAGCTTTTTTAGTTATTTATTGTAGAGACGAGGTCTCACCAAGTTGCCCGGGCTCGTCTTGTACCTTGGGCTCAGGCAATCCTCTCGCCTCAGCCTCCCAAAAGTGCTGGGATTACAAGCTTGAGCCACTACGCCCAGCCCTGTACATCTTTTTTTAAAATAAAGGTTCATTTCTCAAATAACTCCATTTGAAGCAGAAAATGATTGATAATATATTTTCTTACTTTCTTGTCTCCTGATCCCTCCTCACTTTTGTTCTCTTCATTCAGTTATTTTTGTAAATTATTTCCAGGTAAGACAGACACAAAATTTTATGGAAAATAAGCAAGCATAGATGTGTAGAAGCTTTTCCTTTTAAATACCGATCTTTGGTTATAAACTAACAAATATTATAGAAATGTAAAATACAACAGCAGTAATTCTTAAACCAAAAGTGGTGTATATTTTAGCCAAATGTTCCAGGTTACATGGTAAATACTCAAGTCAGTATTTGGTAACAAAATTAAGCCAATGAGTTCAGATAGTCAAAAAAAATTATTAAAACAAATGCATATTAGTAGTCTTAAAGGTAATTCTGATGATCATATTTAATATCATTTGTCTTTTATATATATTAATCACTGGCGCTGTTCTTGTAGTACAACCACATTAAAAAAAAACTGATTATTTATTAAATTTTCCTTTCTTAGCAATAGCCGCTAGGTTTGCAGGTCCACCCCACACCGTTCCTACGAGATCTCTTTCATTCTGTAATGCCTCCTCGAAACATAGCTCTTTGCCTGAAGAAACAGATTTTTTTAAAGCTCTGATTACTTCTGGCGGCCCTTTAATGAATTGTTCTAGCCACTCTTGTGCCTCTTCTAGAGATTTAGTTTCATCTGAAGACTGTAAGACCTCATCCACCATTCCTATGTTTAGAGCTTTTTTTGAATCCAGTTTCAGCGCCCCACTTAACACTTTGAGAGCTTGTCTACTGCCAATTATGTTAACCAGCCGGGTGGTGCCACCCCAGCTTGGTATTATACCCATCTCCTTATGGACAAATCTGATCTCGCTCTCTGGAGTCATTAACCTGCAAAAAATAAGAAAAAAGTTAATTGTAACTAGTATACACACACATATACATGCTTTACTCATAAAGTACTGCCCATTCATGAGCTGATAATATCTCCACAGATCCGTATAGATGCATATTTTAAAAACAGGCAATGTGGCTGTTTCATCTAGAATTTGGTTTACTACACAGTACTTAACACTTCCCTTAAAAAACAATGTCAGCCTATTTGTTGTGCTTGTTTATTCTTTACTTTGCAAATAAGAACCTAGTCTTTATGATTCCTTCTAAAAGCTCAAAGTTTATCTTTCTTTTTTTTTTTTTTGAGTTGGAGTCTCGCTCTGTCTCCCAGACTGGAGTGCAGTGGCCGCTCCCGGCCACCACAGCCTCGACCTGCTGGGCTCCGGCGATCCTCCCGCCTCAGCCTTCCGAGTAGCCGGAATTACAGGCATGCGCTACCACGCCCGGCTGATTTTTTGATTTATTGTAGAGATGAGGTCTCGCTGCCCAGGCAGGTCTCGAACCCGTGGGCTCAGGCAATCCACTCACCTCAGCCTCCCAAAGGCGCGGGATTACAGGCTGAGCCACCGAGCCTGGCTGATGTTTATCTTTATTAAGTGAGTGGTGACCTCATGAGAAAACCTGGATCTGGATCAAGTGAAAGTATGGGAATAGGAAACCTTAGGTGCATACTGCGGGGGTGGCGGGGGAAGAAAGAAAATATATATAGTAAGTTGGAATTCTTAATAGTCCTCGGGGAAAAAGAAATTTTGTTTTTTAGTGCTGCCCATATCCAGCAAATATTTAGTAAGCACTGCCGATGCCAGGTGATGTTCTGGGTGTTGAGACTACAGGAATGGCCAAAGTAAAATCCTACTCAGTTTACATTCCAGCTTGAAAAGAAAGGCACAGGAGTGATAAGTGCTATAAAGGAAATTAAATGGGGGGGGGGCAGGGCCTCTGAATATCTGAGCAGCTACCTGAAGGAGGGAGCTATGCAAAAATACGGGGAGAAGGTGTTCAGGAAGAAGGAATTGCAGGTGCAAAAGTCTTCAAGTAGACCTGCTGGACTAGACCAAAGTAACTGGAACACAGGAAGAAAAGAGAATAATGGGGTATGGAATTAGAGGAGTAGATTTAGAGGCCTTACTAAGGAGTTCAGATTTTAATGAGATCAGCGAGGAACCGGTACCTGGCCTTTCATAGGATGGCTCCGGTTGCTTTATGGAGACTTTTTATTGAGCATTTAATAGCTCTTAGACCAGCTGTTTGACCATACAGCTACAGCAGAGCTAGGACTGAAACTTAGGTAATTTGGCTTCAGTTCTGTGTGCTCTTAACTTCATGGTACATACATCGTTAGCTCTGCAAAAGTGGACGAAGAAATACCAGTAGGAAAGTTGAAAGTGGTTTGAGTCAGACTGATAGCAGTGACTTCTCATAGTTGGGGCTCATTGTCCCCAAATCATGGGTTTTTATGAATAAGGTGATAGAAAAGCGTAACAGGAGCTAAGGCAAAGAAACGGGTGGGCACAGAGAGAGGCTTCACATTTGCCAGCTAAATGTTCGTATACTCAGAGGAAAGCTCCACGGTTTAGGAAATGTGGCCTGGGAGTTTTGTTTTGACTGAAGAAGCTTTCACTGAGTTAAAACCTAATTTGGACCAAATGTCAGGTCCGAATTTTAACTGTTTAAGAAAAAATATTGCTTTCACACTACTCATTACAAAAAAAGACCTTAAGCTCGTTTAGCTTTCCAAAATGTTAAATATTCAACTGCAGGTGATTTGGTTCTATCAGCACCAAGAACAGCAGACTCAGTCTCTGACTCTTGACTCAGGAGACATATTCCAGGAGAGAATTTCCAGAAAAACCTATATATTAACCCACTGGCAAACTTTCTCCTCACAGTTGTGAATTTCTCCAAAGAAAAATATGCCTCAATTATGGGCAGTTGCTTCTAGAGCCTAGGATGTGCTTGTGTACTGATATAATTCTAATATACATTAAATAGATATGACCAAAAGATTCATTGGTGACAAAAGAACACAAGTAGTTTGATAATTAGAGAACTACAGAGCCTTGATATGGTAACCTTTCACAAGACTCTTTAGTAATCTAAAAATCAAAGTTTAAATATAAAATTTAAAACGTTGAGAAACATCATTTAAGAGGACATGACCCAATCAACAAGATACATCCAAAACCAGAAACTGCTTCCTGACAGATCTTAAGTATTATACAGTAATAACTTCTGGAGTTTAGATACAGTTACCTGGTAATGTAACTTATTGTAAGGGACAATCCATTAATCTATGCAGAGTACCAGGAGACTTAGCTCTTATAATTCTGAAGACTTAACAGACCCAATTTCTAAAACCATATTCGGCTGGGCACTGTGACTCATAACTGTAATCCCAGCACTGACAGGCGGAGGCGAGAGGATTTCCTGAGCCCAGGCGTTTGAGACCAG